CTTCCCACAGCACTATTAATTGTCACAGCAGGAGTACAGAAACCAAAAATATGCTTAAAATTGCATATGAATGCATTGTTGTGCCTTCAGAAATGGTGAATCACAAATGCTTCTAAGAAAGGTGCAGGTAGGCCTGTGGTTGTCAAATAATGATACTAGTGCACCTGTCTTGGATGTTAGGTTTCATTCTGATCTCTGATAGTCAGAGACTCATTTATCCTCAAATTGTAACATTTAATATTCCAGGGTAATCAGATTAATTAGAACTATACATATTCTCAAAATCCACAAAAAATGTTTAATTCCTTTTTAAGTTTTGGGTTCAATGACCTTTTTTATCCACAGTCTAATTACAGGGTATATGAGAAGTAAGAGAGAAGTAAGAGAATTATTTAAGAAACTGCCATCATTTAATTGCTTTGAATTTATTTCAAACTCCTGCTTCATCTTTCCTGTGGCACTTTTTAGTCTTCTGTGCTCTTTCCTAAGTCGGTCACAATTAATCTTTTAAATTTTTCTTTGGAGAAGCTGCTTTCCATGCTATGGATCATTCTTAGAGGTTTTTGTGAACATCTTCTAAGGAGAGCCTTTGAAAAACCTTCTTTAACACCCAGAAGTAATGTATGTATGTATGTATATGCACTTGTTTTTCCATTTTGTCTGGACACTCTGGAGTGTGGTTTTCCTTTGTATGGGCAGAGGTGTTTGGCCTGTCATGATCATGGTTAGGCCTTTTGTCATTAGAGACTGTCAACCACTTGACCTGGTGGAAAAGATTCTTATAATTCCTAGAAATCTGTTTTAGCCACATTTTTGTGGGTATATACTTACATTACTGACCTAAAGTACTAGTAGATAGATGACTTAAATGAGAAGGTTTGTATGTTCACCCATGAACTTTCTCGTTCTTACAGTGTTGGATGTATCCTGCCTATGTTTTTTTTTTAAATTTATCAGTTTATAACATCTATGTTATTTCCTCTGTAATCCTTCTGCTGTTTTTGTATTTTTATTACAAGAAAAAATATTATTATAATCAATGTTCTCTGCTGGGAAAAAAACAAAAGCTAAACAGGGATGATTATTTGTTTTGTATAAAACTTTGGAGTAACTAAGCCAGTCGGATCAAAGGTCCATCTAAACAACATCTTGCCAGTGACAGTAGCTAGTAATAGATGCTAAGAGAAAGCATATATAAAAACATAAAAGGTTTTTTTCCTTCTCTTGCAACTCTTTCAGATTAAAAAATTAAGGAATCAAGACGATCTGGAATATACTAATTTATTTTTTTGGCATCCACAAAATCCATTGATAATTAGTTTAATGATTTAATAAATGGGAAAAAGTACATCTCTCCATTTAATTCTCCTGCCTGATAATTTTGTGTGGTGTACTGTAGTTTTTAAGTTAAGAAAAATAGTGCATAGTCATTCTTCACTCAGTATTTTATATGCACTTACCACATTTTCCTTATTCCAAGGTTAGATTTTCATGTAAAATCTATTCCCTACTTCTTATCATCCTTATTAAACTTCTGTGTTTTTCTGACACTCATGTTTGAAAAGGCGTACAGAGGCTTTATTCTTTGTAATTGTTTTTTCTTATTTTCTTGGGAGTGCCATTGATCCATAATTTGCATCTTTAATATTGTAATGAAGTTCCCTTTAATTTTTCTTACCAGTGACTATTTGCTTGTCAAATTCTCACCTAGGCCTTCTAATTTCCATTTTATACTTTGTTTTCTGTATGTTTCTTTTTGAAGGCATGTAAATGAGTGGTTTGCTTTTCACAGGCACAAAAGCCATCTAATATTAATTATCAGTTGTAGTCACACATTGCTTTTAGCTTTGGCCCTAGGGCAGGAAGCAGCTCTCCAGGACAGCAGACTGGTGGGGACAGTTAAATTGCTGTAGGAACAGTCTGTACTTGGCAACATGCTTCAGAAGACTTCAGGAGATCAAGATGAACCTCAAGGCCAAGAGCAAGTTCCTCCACCTGGACTGGGACAATCCCCAGTATAAGTACAGGCTGGTGGATGAAGGCATTGGGAGCAGCCGCAATGGGAAGGACTTGGGGGTGCTGGTAGAAGAGAGCTGGACATGACCTGGCAATGTGCTCTCTCCCCCCAGAAAGCCAGTTGTGCCTTGGGCTGCATCCAAAGCAGTGTGGGCAGCAGGGAGAGGGAGAGGATTCTGCCCCTCTTACTTGTTCTCATGAGACCCCACCTGGAGTTCTGCAGGTCTGGCTTCCTCTGCACAGGAAAGAAGCAGACCTGTTGGAGCGATGTCAGAAGAGAGTCACAAAAATGATCAGAGGGCTGGAGCACCTCTCTTATGAGGACAGGCTGAGAGAGTTGGAGTTGCCCAGCCTGGAGAAGGGAGGACTCCAGGAAGACCTTATTGTGGCCTTGCTTTACTTAGAGGTGGCGTATATGAAATATGGACAATGACTTTTTACTGAGGCCTGTGGTGATAGGAGAAAGGCCAATGGTTTAAAACCATGAGGGAGTAGATTAGATTGCTTATAAGGAAGAAATGTTTTATGATGAGGGGTGGGTGAGACACAGGAGCAGGTTGCCCATTGGGGATACCCCATCCCTGGATGGGACTTTGCACAACCTCCCTGCCCATGGCATGAAAAGATGTTCCTGACCATGGCAGAGGGTTGGACTAGATTGTCGCCCTGAAAACTCAGTTTTTTGATCTTGTTGACGTAGTTTCTAAGAACTTTCCCAGGACAGTGACTGTAAACATAGATATGTATATATTCTTTCTGATACACATCTTTTGATGGATGTCTCACACGACCAGTGTGATTGGAAAGGTGGTAACCTAACTATCCAATCCCTGGTCATTGCCAAGAATCTATAAATACTGAAGTTGTAAGACTAAAACCAGTTTTTTCCCTGTTACACAGGAGCCGTGTCTGTGAGAGTCACTGCGTGTCCTACAGCGACACTAGATGATCTTTAAGGTCCCTTCTGATGCTAGGGTTGATTCTGTGTTCACTACTTGCCAAATCCATTTTCTCACCTGTTCCTTGCCCAGTAGGAAGAGAATGGCCATGGAAAACAGCAGCACCTTGCAGTTGCAGTGGGTTTTACATGTTCACACATTCCTAGTGGGGACTGTGGGTAGGGAAATGTGCAGGGTGGTGCTGGGCATGCAAACAGTGGGGCTGTGGCTCTTGGTTGGGAACAAGAAGCTTGCTTAGTTTTCATGCTCTAAATTGCTTAAGGACCTCAAATTAGGTACTCTGTATTGCTTTGTGGACTTTGAGCCTAACGAGGTTAGCTAATGAGTTGTATGTCCCATATTGTGCAGAGTGAATGTTTCTACACAATTTTGTTTTAAGAACTCCATGAATAATAGCCTTGAGAGGTATTCTCAGGCTGGGAGAAAAATTACATGAAAATGTAAATACATTTCAAAAAACAGTTTTAATTACTTAAAAGCTAAATGCACTGCATACCTTAATTCTAATAGTCTGACTGTTGTGTGACTTCTCTTTGAAGTGAGGTTACAGTTGTTTAGGTACCTTAAGGACACCTTGATATTTTACTGTAAAAACACTCACTTTTCTTTTTAATTACCACAATCTTATTTTTTATTCTACATTTTAATTACTGGTACATAACCTGTATCAATATTAGTCTCTTTTTCTCAAAATCCTGAAATAATATTTTTGGTTCTGAATGTAAAGATCAACTTCATAGCTGATCTTCACTGATTCATTCACTTTAAATATCAGGACAACTCAGATTGCCTGAACTAAAGGCAGTGAAGTCAGTTGAAAATAATACAGGCTGCTACTGTTCTGCTTTTTGTCATTTCTGGAAAGGTTTGAAGTTGGTGAATGTATGGAAAATTAGAAAAAGAGATAACTTGCTTAAAATCTAGGTGGAGGTAGAAAATTTGCTCTATAAAAAACCTAATAAAGTAATCATCAGAGTCACCGAGGAGATCAGGCAGCATCCTGCAGAGCTGCCTTTCCAGCTTGGTGATCAGGCTCTGTTCCTTCCACTGAGAAACTCACTGAGGACACAGGATGAATGTACAGCATGCAAATCTAACCAGTTGTTGGTATTTTTTGTAGTTCTCCCATGACTAAGAAGCTAATGATCATGAGTAATTTATTTCAGCCTTTTATCCTATGTATTTTTATCTAAAGATGGGATCCCCAAGGTGTCACCTCCCCTAAACTGTGGGAAGCACAGAGCAGTAATTTGTAACCTCCTCTCAGTGCTTCATTTTCAGCCATGCCAGTCTGTAAAGCCACCACTTCTCCAGCGCATCTGATGGGCTCGCCTGGTGTACAGTTTTCACTTTCAAATGGCCAGTGCAAGTACATTTGTTTCAGGGGACTGCAAATACTCTAAGAACAGCTTTCAATTTTCCCAGGCCTGCAGTCCTACTGTAATGACTGCCCTTGCACCATCCTTTTTGTAGGAGGTATTACTACCAGGAGAAGCTGAGTGTTTTGAAACATGCTGTTGCTCCTGGAGGACCAGTTTGATCAGAGCAGACTGGTCCTTTCTGGTGAAATGCCATGAATTCACTTAGGAGTCCTGGATACTCAAAATTTTAAGAAACAGCGTGACTCCTTCAAACAGTAAAGTAATGACTGAAGAGGATAAGTGTGAGGTGAAAGGCTTGGTCTTCTCCAGTGGAGAATACAGATGTTCAAAACAAGACTAATGAAAACATCCTTTTATTTAGTCTTTTAGAGAGTTACCTAAGAACCCAAACTGTGTGACTATTTAATGAGTGGAGGATGATGGGCAAGAGTGGTCTGTCTGCCCCCCACCCCACCACCCCAAGGTGCTTTGTAACTACAAATACAAAGTAGTGCAGAGCAAGGAATGTATAAAAATAATGAACTCAAAGAGCAAAATGATTACAGGCATGAGCTGGGCCCGCTGGTGAACTAGACCAGGCTTAATAGTCTGCAAAGGTGAATTGTGTTCATAAAGTGGGTAAACCTGTGTTTTTTTCTTACAGATTTCTTGGGATTGGCCTGCATGGATGTATAAAGGTTGCAGAAGCAGGAAACACAGCAATTACTGCTGGATCTGAAAGTTAAAGCTGCAGATTTTAGGACAACTGTGTTCATATAAGGCGTGTATAATTTTTGCTTAAAATAGGCTATCTTTGACCAGTAAGAAGTACATATGTTAAGGTTTGTGAGAACCACAGTAAGTTTTGGTTGGTTGGTTGGTTTTATATGTATTTTTTTTAAAACAGAAAAGAGAATCTTATTGTAAATTTACTGGTTTATTGGTGTCAGACTGTCCCAGATGCTAGGTTCATATATCAGCTGCTGTTAGCCCATGAAGATATAGCTGATGCTACTAAGAATTACATTTTATAGCATACTTTCTGAACACTGTAATCCAGCCTTTCTCACCTAGACTACACCTCTCACAATCCATCTAGAATACTAAATAAATGAAAAAACAATTAGAGGCAGATTCTAAAATCTTGGAAATATAACTAATAAATATGAAAGCTGGGAAAAATTCTGTGCAGCAAAACCAAATTATCATAAGTAGTATAGCTTCTTTAAACTTTTTTTTTTAGTTGAAACAATTCCAGAATTTAAGTCACTTAAGGCTTGTCTTTAGGCCAGACTGACTGGAAAATGTTTCAATTTCAATGAACCACTGTTTGGTTTAGTCTGAAACTGGTAAGACCTGAAAAGCTTCCACAAAAATCTCATTTAAATATAGTAATGCCCAATTTTGGTAATGTAACATGTACAGACAAGATGTCCATCAGTTTAGTTGGCAATTTTGAAAGATTTCCACTAAATACTCCACAATCTTCTGAAGCATTTGGGAACCACAAATACTATGGACTTTTTTCCCTGCTATTTAGAGAATAAATGTAGCTTACTTTCTACTATTTTTTTTATGCTAGTATTTTTTATTCCTGCTTCAGTGTGGTTGATACAGTAAAGCTTTTTCTTTGTGCTCAGCTTTTATTCTGCTGGGTGCTGGTTGGGCCTTTTGACCTGTGCTGGGGATTTACTGACACAAAATTGGAACATAATTTGTTTTTGGTTTGGACCAGAATTTGATGTAATGTTTTTAACATTTGTATTCCACATGCATCTTCACAGATTATACTTACGGGCAAAGTATTGGTGAACATTTGAAAATTAGCTTTCTAGACACTAGCTAGACTTACTAGCTAGTAATCTTACTGTGGGAATAAAACTGGGATTTAAGAAAAGAATTAGCCGATTCTATCTCGTTATTTTTTTTGGTTTGTTTCCTCTAATAGGAATTAGAAGGACCACTTATTTTTGAATGTGTCAGTTCAGTTTTCAGTTTCTAATTTTACAGTATACGTGACCAAGACTGCATTCAGATCAGGGTTTGTATTTTTACAGACAAATGTAATTTCTACCATAAAAAAATACATGTGAAAACTCAAGATGCAATTTGCGAAAACTAAAGAAAGAAAAAGTCAGGTTTACACAGATCGAAGGAGTTACAGCAGTGAAGAGTTTGGTTCTAAGGCAAATATCTTGCCACTCAAAATGGTTTGCCCTGTCTAATGGGTGATGCAGACACCATGACTGCAATAGGGCATCAGTTTACAGTTTGGTTCATTTCAACTTCTTCTTTACCAGAAGTGCAGGCAGTCAGCCATAAAAGTGGCCAAACCAGGAATGTATTGTTCTAATGCTTATGAAGTCAAAAAAACCCAAGCAGAAACCCTTCAGCCATTCTATCCCTCTTTGTCAACTCTTCTAAAGTTTTGCAAAAACAGGATGATATGGAATATGTTTTATTTACAATAAAACATTGCCAGAGAATATTCTGAGGGCATAAGCCGCATTTCTGGAAATTGCAATGACTCAAGTGACCTCTTGTTCTGACAACTACAATTTTAAGCCTGGACTACTCTGATCTGTAATCAAGATAGGGGAAAAAAAACAGTGATGTGGGCAAAACAGACAGGACTGGATTGCATCAGAATATGGTGTTTGTTTTCTTGTCTGACCCAATATAATACATAACTTTGAGATAAAAGGTAGTAAGAAAATTGTACAGACGTTTCTTTTCTCTTTAATTTAGTCATTTGCAGAATTATTTCAGGTTGGTCATTTGCTTTCAGGATTGTTTGTATTGTACCAGACTAAGGGCAGCTGTACCCCTATGGAATCATGGTACTGAGAAGCTGTATGGGAATTCAGGAGATTGGTGGTCCATTCCCTATACTGAGCTGATCAGCTGTATCCTCAACCACCCTCAATGCAAGTATGCTTAAGTCTCTTAAAACTTCCTATTTCCTAAAGACTTTCTAGTCTATGGCCTTCCAAATTAACCTATTTTGATGTTTAACAATCCTTTATGTTGGAAAGCATATTCCTAATGTCTATGTTTAGTCTTCCAAGCTATAAAATAACCTAGTTGCTTCTTGGATTTCCTCTTGTGCCCATGAATGCTCTTCATTTCTGGATTTAATTTAAGGAGAGACTGTTTCGTTTTTTTTAACCTACAGTTATTTAAATATATATCCAATATGATAAAGGGCAGTAATCTTGGAAGAATGAGGATTTGCTGTATTGGACCCAGTTAGTGGTGTGTGCTCACTGTCCTTTCTGTGTGCCAGCCTACCACTGTTCCTTAGCAGTAAGAGAAACCCTCCCTTTTGGCCTGTATTTGCACCAGTTGAGCCAGGTGGAGATTCAGTAACATCTGTGAACAGTAACATGCTGTGAATTTTTGCACTTGTAGAACAGATGTGGCAAGGGCCTGTGGTGTTGGCAAAAACCTGTGTTCAGTGAATTCGTCTCAGGCATAAATTTTACCTACCCCTTACACAAGCTTAACCTCAAAATGAGCAGATCCTGCCATTGCCTAAAACTGTGGAATCCTGTAGACCACAGCAATAGCTTTATAGACCAGGACAACATTTCATTCAATGTTTTAACCTCTTTAAAATATTTGTAATTACTAAAAGCCAAATTATATTAGCATGCAATGCTGAAGAAGCTGAATTTTGCTGAGTTAATCCTGAATAATACTGTTGCCCATAAAAGCAAGTTTGACCTCAATGTGTATGACAGACAGGATTAATCAATTTAAAATGTTTTCAGTATTTCAGAAACATGGAATGCTGTAGAAATGTTAGTTCCCCTAGCTGAAAATGAAAAAAGCATTTACCCCAGTAACCAACATTTGATCTCAGTTTAAGTTATTGACTGTAATTCTACCAAGTGGCTGTGCTCATCTTGCTCTTACTCATTGCTGTGTAGAAGGATCTTAGTGCAAAAATGGTAAATGGGGGTAGTAAAAAGTCTGGGATAGTGAAAGGTCAAGAGCAACTCAGAAAAATTAAATTCACTCCAAGAAATAGCAAGTACATTTCTGCAGGTCCCTTTTCTTCTGTCCCCCCTCATGCTTTGAAACAGGATTATCAGATAAACAGATGTGCATTGGATCTATGACATTTAAAGAAGCATTTAGTGGGCCTACCAACAAATTCAGAATTTGGGTTACCAACTGTCCAAAACTTTAGGAATCATTAACAAAAAGGGATATTTTTTTTTCAGCTCATGGTTACAGAAAAATCTCCAATGTGGCATCTGATGCTGCATTATCTTATCTAAATTGCAGAGATACCAGAGAATGCTAAAGTGTGAATGTTTTTGCTTTTCTTTAGGTCATTTTTAGATGACAATAACACCTTTTTAACACTTCCTTCTCATCCAGCTAGTTGATGCTGTCCAGATTTTACTCTTGATCATTCTACAAATCATCCTCTGGTATTAAATGAGGAGTGACTGGGCCAGTGTGAAGTACAGGATTGGAAATTCTGCATTCCCTTAGCCTTTCTGTAGCTCCAAACATCCCTGGTGAGGTCCGGTACCATATTCTTGAGTGTGAACTGATGATTCCTTCCCCAAAGGCATGCAGCCAACACAATCTTATTTATTGGTTCCACACAACTCTGTCTTCAGTTGAAATTAAGTCAGATTTTTACAGAAAATTCAAAGTAAATGGATATTTCTGTGTGGCTTAGAAGAACAGAAGCCACACATAAATGGAAGCAACTCTGCATCTTGCACTCAGTACTCTAATGGAAAATCCAAGCACTCAGTTTCCCAGTAAACCTTCTCAGAGGTAATTTTAATGTAAACAGACTACTGCTTAGAGTACTAATGTATTTTTTGCTGTGACTTGTAAGACATGTTTCACAGTTTTATGATATTCTTTTGTAGGTGCAATAGCAATCTATTGCCTTCATAAGATTATATTTTCAAAATGCAGTATTTTTTAATGTATGTGCCATTGTTTTGGAAATTTGAATTGCATATTAAATTTAACATGAAATTTTGCATTGCAAATTGGCTTTTAATGTGCAAATTATGGTGTATGCACAAAAGTTTTGCATCAAAACATTGTGAAAATAGATATAAAGTGCATTTTTTCAAAAAATGAGCTGATAAGGAGTTATTTGAAAAATGTAAAATATGTAAGAAAAGGAGGAAGGGTAGATAAAATGTCAGTACTGACATTTTTGTCACTGCTTATTTACGTATTTTACAAATGAAAAAAAGTCCAATCAAATTCCAGACCAGTCTTTTTCTTTCTTTACCTTGATGCAGCATTTTTAATAATTAGACATTTACTATCTACTGCAGAATTGCTTTAAGCTATTATTTCGCATGAAAGTTTTCCAGAGGAAGGACTTTGAGATTTGGTTCTCCCAAAACATGGCATAGGATTCGTCTTCACAAAGGATTCCTTCAGCTTGAAATGGGCTTTGTTTCCCAAAGCAGCAGTGGGATGGTGTAGCTTTATTTTGTGCTTGCTGAAGTTAGTAGGAAGTCTTGGAAGTCTACAGAACAGGATCAGCCTCATGGGGAACTTTATAACCAGTCAGAAGCCTTTACTACCACAGAGCCTTGGCTGCAAATTTTTCCTTGCTTCAAACACACAGTGACCAAATCATCTAAAGGCATTGGAAATCTTTGGAGCTGCAAAAAGACTCAGTGGGCTTTGAATTACTTTCAAAAGGCCTTCTAGCCTCTCTGCAGTTAAACTTGCCCTTGAAGCTCTGAAAATGTGTTCTATTAATTTTTTATTAAAGTTCCTTTGGCTTGTTTTGCATAGAGTACAAAAAATGACAAGATGTTTTCCTTACAGATGTTGTTCTAAAAGAGAAAAGGCATATGAGAAAAAAGTACATATGAATATACTGGTGGAAACTATACAAAAGAATACAAAAAAGTAAACACTATATTCAGATTGGTATGCTGAAGAAAAATCAGCAAAACCTCTGTACCTGATGTGGTGTTTCACAAAGTTACTGGAGATGCTGGAGGTCAATGGGCAAGGGTCACTCAGTGTTTATAGTAGGTATACTGGTGTTTTCAGATTTTTAAAGCATAAGTCCCTCACCAAAGTATTTGAGAGAAATTGAAGTATCATATAATGAAAGAAAAAGTTCTCTTCAGAATTCTTGTCTTCACAATGAAAGATATTATAATGAGTCTCTGAAAGCATCCCTACTGGGATGGACACTACTCAGTTACTACTGCCCATGAACAATCTTGGATATGTAGAGATTGGTTTGGGAATGGTAATGAATTATTCAGGATAGTCTAGTTCAAAGATGACAGCTGAAAATTTCAAACACTGAGCAGATGTAATAGCTTCTGTAAGAAGAAACTCAAAATAGTTTTGAACTGACTGGCTTGCAGAAGAAAATGTAAGGAGGAATTTGAGAGAGAACTCTAAATTTGTGAATACAATGGGTGTTAGGCATAATTTTCTGGTGATACAAGGATTTAGGAGGAATCAAGTGAAATCCTGATGGGCAACAGATTTAAAATGAACAAAGGGATGTACTTTTTCAGGTAACATATAATTATGCTGCAGAACTAGATACCATAGAATGTTTTGGACTGGAAATGTATCATATCAAGGAGCTGCAACACTCTCAGATACTATTTGGTAACTAGCACAGGATGTCAATGTATAAACTCCAGTTAAGGATGTTCCCAGCTGCACAGTGCCAGTGCCTGTGGATGACCTGGCTGTGGGTCTGTCTCATCTCTTGCATTCATTCCCTTATCATCCACTACTGGCCCCTTAGGGACAGGTTAAAGGGAGGCATGGAGCCAGCTGGACTGTGACCTGACCTGCCCTGATCAAAAAATGTTGTAATATTTTTTCACTGAAATTTTGGATAGAAACAGAAAAAGTTCATTGAAATTC